AGGATTATTTTATGTAACTTGAAATTGAAAACATACTTACAGCCTATATGCGTAATTACATGAACCTTATTCCGGACATCCCGTCATCATATGACAACCGAAGTAATATGGCACTCCAAAGGAATATGATTTCTATATATACATATATATATATATGTATATATAGATATATCTCCATGCTCTGTAATTTCACTATTATATCGTATAAAATGAATACATGAAACATCTGACAAAACAATCTGCTTGGCGGCTGAAATAGGTAAGACAGACATCTTTGTATAAAGTCTATCTTTGGTGGTGGTATGAATTAAGATTCTTTCCAGAATAATATAAATGATGGACAGAGTATAATAATATAAAATATTTTAAAAAATTACACAAATAAAAATTTTGGATTACACGGTTCCTGTTGAAATTGCATTTGAATAGGTTATGAATGTAAGGAATATTTCAAAATGATATAATCGAAGCTAGTTACAAAGGGAAGGCAATTCTGATGTTAATAGCTGATCAACTGTCCAAAACATTATATATTGTGTGTATGAGTTTGTTCTAAAAATAAAGGCGAAATGATGGTATAAATTATATATTGTATACTATAATTCTTCACTAATCTACATGCTTCAGCATATAGGTAAAGGTTCACGTTAAAGAAATATTTCAATATGTCGAGTAGATATAAAGTTTTTTACTCTTAAACAATAGATGAAACTTTTATTTTATATTTTTCAAATTCGTTTCTCATCGTAAACTATTAAAGATAAGTTCGTTCTTTTATTTTATATTTTATTATTCGTTTTTACTGTTAAAGCGATACAGCACCTACACATTATTTCATGACATTTATGAAGATCATAAATGCTACGAAGTCACTCATAATCCCCTATGCTACATAAAGTTTTAAAATGACGTAATATTATACGGGGTAGGTATGTATATAACAGATATGTATATAACATATCTACCCCCGGTTGCAGAACTATTATTTGTTACAAATTTGAAACTTTAAAGATATTTAAATTTAATAACATCAATTATGCAAAAACACTCTTTATTATGATACTAAATATTAACAATTTAATTACAACTTCAATACTATTTTATTACAAGTACGTCAGTTACCAAGTTCATAAATAATTTATGTCATAAAATATGGCCCATACAAACAACCGTTAACTAATTACATTGAGGCCAGGAAGCTAATAGAAAATTTTACAACAGGAAGAATTACCCACGAAGGTATTCCTAGTACAGAGCGGGTAATAGTCAAGATTTATAATCGTTTATATTGATAAATGGCCAAAAGTGCACGTATAAACAACTACCGAGGTGAGTGAGATAACTCATCGTTATTAATTATGAACGCATATCCACATTCCGCATGAATAGTCAATTGCTTTCATTTTGATAGAAATGTATTCAACATTTAAACTAATGTGTATTATATAGTGAAAATATTTAGTATTTTATATATAAATAATAAGTAACTCTGGATAATTAACACAGCGCCATCTAGTCCCACGGCAAGTAGAGCTTGTGTTATGGGTACTACATAACTAATATAAATACTTACTTTTTTTTGTAATCACACTTACATAATATACATAGAAAACACCCAAACCGATAAAAACAGTTATACCCGTGAATACAAATGTTTGCACCGTGCGAGGAATCAAATCCGCGACCATCGGAAGTAAAGCGTAGTGCTAAACCGCTTGACCACCGACGCCGTCATATGTCCAAACTCAAGAGTTTATTATAAACGACTTTTTTTTTCAAATTTGCATCCTTGCTAAACCGTGACGAAATAATGTTTTTCTATATCTATAATAGTAGTAGTATAGTAGTAATGAATTGACGCATTTTGTTAATATACAAGCTGCGCCAAACCATCAGTAGAAGTTATTAGAATGGATTTAATGAGAAGAAATGGTAGTACCCACTATGGTTAGATTAATGGCAGTCGATTGTTTGTGAGTAGTGATTCATCTGGAACTGAGCAATATAACAGAACTGGTTCCATGCGTTCTAAGCAAAGTCAGTTCATTACTATTTTTGACTTCTATTATATTTTTATCCAGTGTATTCTGTCCTGATGAATTGCTACCACATTTCAAAGATTACTTTTAAATAAAAAAATAAATATTTATACATATATTAATTTGCATCTATTCTTCCTTGTCCTATTTATTTGGAGTCGCCGTAATATGTTTTTCTCTTTCATTCATCCTTATTCGCAGTCATTTACTCCCTTTCTTACCATATCATCTATCTCTTTTTCAGCCTTCATCTGCCCTTAACACCATCCACATTCAAATGTAACACCTACCTTAAGATATTACAGAGAGAGGTACAGCATTTACAATGTTCTTGCAAATATATATCCCGGTATAAAAAACGTGTCACCGTAAGTTTTTGTACTGTGTTTTGAACTGACAATATGTACATAAAAATATTGATCTTATATACTAAATGACAATAGGAAAAAGTGGGGTGACACAGTTTAGACACAGCAGTACTTAGTAGACAATTTTGGATTTGTCTTACTAGCCATTATTAAAGGCAATTATTATTTCTAGTTAACTGTGTCCCATATACTGTAAGTTAATTGTACTATTCCTATAACATTCTAACAACTGCGAGCAATAATTAGATTGTTATAGTTATGAAAATACCAGGTGGGTAGCATATAAAATATTGATTTTTAGAAACACATACAAGTGATAACGGATACTTTGTTTGTTAAATTTTTACCCACTATACACTGTAGATGGATTAATGTTGATCAATTGACTTAATACAATAATATATTTAGAAAAGTGCTATAACAGAATTGGTTCCAAGGGAAGATTATAGTGCAAGCACGTACAGTTAGACTTATTTAGATATTCTGAAATTTTCCAATGTTTTAGGAATACTTTTTAATTTTGCGTTCCATGTGAACCATCTAGAAAGTTTTAGATTTAATAATTGTGATATATAACTATATAATATACTAGCTTTTGCCCGCGGCTTCGCTAGCGTTAAGAAGTATTATTATTAGGTATAGTTTTTGCGGCTTTACAGTACTTTCATACAAACTTTTATCACCTATTTTATCCCCTTAGGGGTGAAATTTATCAAAATCTTTATTTGGGGGATGCCTACGTCATAGTAGCTTTATTTATGCAAAGTATCAGCCCGATCGGTTTAAAATTGACAAAGTTTCATACAAACTTTCATTCCCTATTTTTTCCCCTTGGGGATAGAATTAATCAAAATTCTTCTTCATCATCATTAATTCTTAGCGGATGCCTACGTCATAACATCTACCTGCATATCAAATTTCAGCCCGATCCGTCCAGTGGTTTGGTCTGTGCGTTGATAGATCACTATGTCAGTCACCTTTGATATAATAATAAATATTTAGATTAAATAAGTGAATATTCTTAAACATTGTAAAATTTGAAATTTTACAATGTTTTAAGAATACTCTTTAGTTTTGCGTTCTATAAGAATCTACTACAAAGTATTAGACATTATTAATTTTTATATATATGTACACAATTCAATGGTAATATAGTATAATAGGCAATATATTACAATTAATCATTATAATGGGATGTAAAACGAAAGCTGGATACGTGTACATGCGCTTCTAATGTGCACGATCCTCTACAGCGATATATTGCCAATATTTATCCAGTCGACTGCGAATCTACTTGTTATCTCGTACTCCACAGTATTCCTTCGTTCCAATTTAAACTCTATATACATAGCACAACGTACATTTTTACTGTGAAGGTTATTAATATTTTACTTAAGAATTTCCGAGTATTACATGTCATAATTAATTTTGTTACTCGGAGTATATTTTCCGAACGAAACCGCAACGTTATAATGAATTCTTCTTTTGTATTGAACACACTTCATATTCGTCTCAACTTTGATCAGATTTTGTATGCAGGAATAAATGCCGTTGTTATACATCAGGTATGCCTTATGACAATAGGTACTACATGTAATTTATAAGACTATTATGAATAAGCCATTCTTCAAATAACTTACTTACTTTAGTTTATTTTTATATTAACATTAATTCATATGTGTGTTAGTATATTCTAAAAGGTATTTATAATATGGGTCTAGTTACCTGAAATAAATAAGTAAATAAAAATTTAGTCCCGTGTTTTTGTTTATTTTCTGTAACTTTAAAGCAAGGTGCTAAACTGCTAGACTACTAAGGTTGTATATACATATAACACACGCATGATTATGCGCCCTTCGTCACATACATGATACGAGTATATCTTTGCGTGGCAGATATGTAACATAAATAAGGATTAGTCAAATAATACAAAAGTAATGTATAGTTTTGGATTTTTATTTATTTAGAATCCATGCTTGTAAACAGATTTGTAAACTTACAAGTAAGGTTTGATTAAAAAAATATAAATATGGCTACAAAATGTTACTGCAGTATATGGCTAAATTATAAATAAATGAAACTGTGAAATATACAGTTTATTCTGTATTACGAATAATCTAAAAGACGAAACTGTCTACCTGAGCATTTAAATCATAATTCATTCGATTAAAAATAAATTACTTTTATAACATTATCCTTTTTTAATAAAGAATTAATTATTGAATATACAATAATTGTCAAAAGAAATATATTCTATCTACAATATACAAGTAAGTAACAAACATTTATCTATATACATTTAATAGTTCGGACTAGTTCACGATTGTAGTCAAAAAGTGTGTCGCAAGGATTGTACATAAATACACAATTTACATATGAGAACACTAGAGATCGGAAGTGTTCCTTTTGGTAATTTAGAACTAGCACTGACGACTGATTTAAACGGACATCTATGAAATGTAGTCACTCAAAACTTTTTGCAGCATACACATTGTTATTGATATTCACGACTTTCTATTTATTGTATTATTTATTATTAATATAAATAAATGCACGTTGGAGTTTAAGAATATAAGGAAATGTGTGGGATATGCAGATGAAAAAAACTATTCCAGTAATTATTGTTCCTATCATAGAAAATGAAGTTACATAAATTATTATGCTGCAAAGATTTCAAATACATATGGCATCAACGTCAAGACCTGTAGTCTATTCTATAAAGCATCTTCAGAATCAGTCAACTGTAAAAATCTCTCCACGTCCGTTCAAATGTATCGTCAATATCTGGTTTTACACACTACGGGCTGGTAATTTTGCAAACACCCCTAATTACACCCAATTCTTTAAATCACATATTATAATACATATTCAGAACATAATAAATAACATTTTCAACGAGCACAAATGATTGTAGGCCATATTTCTATCTAATATTATTACAGTGAGGATGTGAGTTTGTTTGTTTGTCATGTTTGTGCAATTAACGACTCAAATAATTGATGGTGGACCGCATTCAACACGGCTTACTTTAATACAAGGCTGGTTAGATCGAAATACTTCTTGAAATCTTTAATATTTCTTATCATAACGTACACCTTCACAATACAGAATGTTTTATATATATAAAAGGAGTAAACATTGCTAACGTTAAATTCAGTTACAAGTGTCAAAATCGTAAAATTCCAATTTAAATATCACTGCCATGCTTATTTTTAATAGATTCTAAGTTCTTTTAATTTTGCTTTCAAATAAACAAACAAACTCTTGTCGAAAACAGTTTGTTATAGTGGTAAATGAATGTTTAATCGCGGTATATTTTATCAAAAATGAAAACATAAATGAGAGAAATATCAACATAAACGCTAAGCTTACACGGAAGATCTGAGCGAAATTTAAAATTTCACACTCGAAATGCCTACACTAGACTGTACATGCGGCTTACCGCATAAAGCTCTCTTAAAAAATTACAAAAAGTCTCAACATATAATAATTAACCTATCTATTATATTATTTACAATTATTGCTATCGAATGTTGCGCTTTCAACGCTCCAGTTCACTATTCAACTGGCTTATTGCCTTCACTACAAAGAAACACAGAGTTACTTAAATTATACAATGACGAAATACTACAAGAATGGAAAAGACACATATAAATTGTAGTATTAAAACTGAAAAGATAAATAAAATGTCATTATTAATCTTATAAAAGAAACTAAACATAGTGTCACACTCAATGATATGAATATTTTATAACCGGAATGATATATCATTTAAAATACGTAATTGTTTTGTTTTAAAATCATAATTAAGCAATTTGATAGGTGATTTTTACTTTTCAGTACTATCCAATATTACCAACAGACTTTATTTATACAAATGCAAAACAATATGGGATGTATAACCGTATACCGCACTGCAAATATTTAATGCATGGTGTTTTCATATACATTTATTTTCACAGTGAAAAACAAAAATACGTGTGGCCAAATTCATTGATATACACACACATTTGCAACGCGGATAGGCTTTGTATACTAATTTCAGTCTGCATGTTTTATGATAGAATATTTATGTACCTAATATGAAAATTAACAGAGAATTTCAGAAAACAATAATTACCAAACATGGTAAAAATGTCTATTAGAAATTTATCTATAAAATATATCTAATTCAACATTTACTCACACCAACAAAAATGGGTGCCGCCCATATGCCAATGACATTATTTATTCTTAATTCAGTAAAAGTAATAAAATTGGTCAGACAAAATACTCAGTCTTTGAAATACAAAAGAAGTCGTCTTAAGTATGGACATACAATATTCCATTGCTATTGTCAATGCAATGTCAAGTTATTGTAGACTTAGTTTTCGCACTAAAGAGTTGGTATCCCCGCAAGTTTTGTCTTATTCGCATTCGGGCGGCACGACAGTTTTGGTATTGGCGGGGAGTGCGGGCGGCAGCGCGGCTTGCGCACGCGCCCGCGCCAACGCCTACGCTAGCGCTGGCGCGGCGGGCCGCGCTCAGGGTCGGTGTGGATGTGCTGAACTTAACGATGAACTACTCACCCCAGAATCACTACTTTTTTCTGAGGCACAAGGCTCGCCACCAGCCACAAATTTCACAACATTAAGCCTATGATCTGATTCACAAGTGTCATCCCTAGCTCCACCTGGTAGACCTCCAGAACGTGCGATTGTTCTTTCTCCGACTGAGCCAGGATATCGTTCGATTCTATCGCACTCAGCGTCGTCGGGTTGTCGTCGCCGCACGGAACGCTTTGCTTGAGGCGCTGGTTCTGGTGGTCTATGGGTGGGTTCATCAGCTCTATGAACTAGCGGTGAAGTTCTAACACGGACACCACCAACCCCAACGCTTGCCTCATAACAGCCTGAATCGCGAGGGAACTGCCGACGTCCAAAGGGTGAATCACCTCCTTCCGAACTAGAACCACCTCCATCACCTTCTCCGTCTCCTTCGCCACCTGATTAGACAATAAAAACTTTAGTTATAACTTAATAGATATCTATTTTGTCTTTCCATATTATTTAGATTGGACCTTCATTTATTGTATTACACTAAACTTACATTCAAGCTGATGTAACAGTTGTACAGCAGCTAAGATACGAGTGCGATGTTCTGGGGTCATAATTCCCAAGTAGTCTAAGTCTGACGGTTCAATCTCTTTAAAAAGTTCTATATCTTCATATCCATTTCTAGCAAAGGCCACTGTATATTCTGGTAAGTCTATTCTTCTAAGTAATTCATCAACTGTTCGTGGTCGAGTTTCCCATAACCTTTCACGACTCTTGCACCATTTGGAAGACCTTGACCGCATTGTGTCTCGATCAGAGAGAACTTCGACGTTAGCAAATTTGAAGTTTCCTACTTTGTTGTTCAAAACTCCTCGCCAAATACCCGATGCATTCATGTTGATAACTTCTATGATGTCTCCTTTCTGTTAACAAAAATAAATGGTTGAGAATGTACTTTACTTGCACTGCAAATAAGAAAATACTTAAGTGGTAGTTAAGGTAATCATTAAGATATCTTACCTTGTATCTCAAGGCATCCTTCTCATAAATATTAGGTACATAATCGACGAGTGCTCGGGCTCGGCACAGCATTTGCGGCACAAGCAAGCTCCGCCCGGCTGGACTTAATTCTATGTTTTCTTCTGCCGAGAGAGATGAGTGATTACTACCGGCGCGAACCAATGCTTGTGTGCCTGTACATAAATATTTTTAGACTTAGAAATCTCAATTTGTTGCCTAGAATATGCCCAATGCATTGAAATTAGCAATACCTGTAGATACATCTTTGTATGACTGTGAATAGGTAGGATTTTGTTAATTTAGTAAAATTAAGGATTTTATTATTAATAGGAGTAGGAATTAATTTAAATAACTAATAGTAGTATTTACAAGAATATAATTGTAAGTAACACATGGGATGTTATAGTACACAGAAAGGAAAGACGAACATATTTACAAACAATGTTTATATTAACACAGACAAATAACTCAATAAATCCACTCACTACTGCCTGATCCGCTGGGAAGACTTTCGAAAGAACTATTAGAACATGGAAATGCTTGGTCACCACTAGTTCGTCTATCACTTCCTTCTGGGCCTCTCTCTTGTCTTAATCTTGAAATTTTTCTTTGGACATCTTGCCTTAGGCCACGCACTTTTCCCGCTAAATTGGAAACACCCTCACACTCTTCAGCAGACTGAAACCGATGTAAAGACTGTAAGTTGGGCAAAGGATATGGTAATTAAAAGTAAGATCTATCATGAATAGCTATTTTATTATAATAGAAAATATTTTACTACAATAAAAAACATATCTGTATAAAATTATAGCAAACCATAATAATGAAAAATTACCTTATGTACTGTGGCTATGTGTTGTGAATCAGTTTCGCTCTCTTGATCCTCGTAATCTGAAGAGGCGGGTGATAATGGATCAGCACCTATCCGATATCCCGACATTTGTCTGTAACCTCTTCTTGAGTCTCGTTCTGATCTATTTGACTCAATTGAAATGCCTGATAGTCTTGAACCTATTGATTGGATGTCGGATGCAGCATAATCCCCACTTTCTCTGTCCCTTGCAGTTCTTAATGGAATAACAGTAGTCGGGTATGGACCGCTTTGTGGAATAATTAAACCTCTCCTGGGGGCTCTCGCTAAACTTATGTCACCAGCACTTCTTAGTGATATAACCCCTTCGCCTCTGGGCTCATTTCGTAGATTTAACGTGAAGCACACACGTCCGTTTTGAAAAGTTGCAGCAGGTGCTCCACCGCCCATAAGAAAGTCTTCAGGATCACTTTCATATGGAGGTTCATCATACCAATGCCCTCTTCCAGTCAGTCCTCTCGCTTCGTCGTCGTACATATACGTGTCGTCTGTAAACGATTCCTCTGTTAAACTTCTATGCAGTATTTCCAATAATGCAAATAAAAATGTATGTGCAAATAAAATTGCCAAATAAATTTACCCTTAAATACCTCTCCATGGAAGACTTCACTGACAACACTGCATGTAAAGCTGAATACATCGCAACATCGTAAAGCCGTGCGTGGTTTATGCAAAATATCAGTGCAATGAACATGCATTTAGCACTTTGTCGCAAAAAAATCTGATGAATAGTTGGATCCAAGTGTAATGTAGATACTTTAATGTAATGAAAAAAATATATAAACTTGGCCGTTTTGATTGTCAATCATCTTGATCTGTATTAATAATGATATTTATAAGAAATTCACACATGGTAAGTGAGACGTGTAATTAACGAACGAGACAGTAAATTAACAACATTCCGCAAAATACAGAAAATTTAAAGTAATATTGTTTCGTGCAAGGAGACCCCATCAATGATGTTTTAACTATTTGTTTTTCTAAATATTTTAACCCGTTATTTTGACGAAATGTATTTCAAATGCTCTTATAATTATTATGATATATAAAATAGAGCCTTTATAGTAGTAGTAGTAGATCACTATCATTTTTTTCTAGTTTCACACATCCAAAAGATAAATTAAACAAATTCACTTGAAATATTTTTGAGTACACAATTTATATAAGTTAGATTAAAACATCGTTGACAAACATGCAACAGGTTATTAATTCACCTGCTGAAAATATTTAAGAATAATAATAACTTCTTCTCAGACATTCAAAGGTCACTAGAAGAAATACCTCTTTTTTGGTATAAGTTCGTCATTGTACGCATTTATTTTGTAAGTTAGTTGTTGTAAACGCATGACGTTATTACATTATAATATAGCAATAATGTACATTAAATTACAATATTGCATATTATTTTTTATTATCTATATTGATTTTGTAATTACATACTTAGTAATTAATATTTATGTAACGTTATGACCATCATTTTTAATTCATTGAACGCCAAAATAGTTAAAGTAAGATAAATCTAACGTAAGATAGAAAATTTAATTGAAGCATGATACAATAATGAAAAGCATAGCAAAACCAAAATTTTCATTTCAACATCAAATACCAAAAGCGACTAAACAACCAAAGCATGAAAATCGAAGGTATAAATTTTGAAAACAAGCTGAATCATCTTTGATTTTCGTATCAAATCTTTTGCTTAGACTTTTCACAGTGTAACTTTTTCCAAAACTTTTAAACTTTTTTGGAAAAGTTCACATACATCAAAATTTTAAACGTACCTCCAAAGGGACCTCTTACACCGTCTCTTCCCATATTCATAAGGCCATGTCTTATATCTCTTAAAATCTGGAACAAAGAATTTTTAATTATTGTCAAAATACACTTTTTTTACGATGTCTTTTGAGTTGAATGGCAAACAAGCCGATGGTCCACCCGATAGTGGAAACCATCGTTTATACTTATGAATAGCATTGTGGACATTATGTCATACTTTGCTTTGACTAAGATATCCCTTTATACCCTCTAATTTCACTGCCTTATCTCTTCTTTCAACACAGCTTACTAAAAAAGCTGAATTAATTGAGACAGAAGTACCCACAGTACCGCAGACGATTTTGTACAAAATGTACCTCAGTATAATTGGCATAATAACTAAATATTCTTGAAAGGAAATAAAAGCATAATACTGTTACATCACACTTTTGGAGCAAGTTAGAATGCGCTATAAATATTTATTAACTGGTGTACAGGTAAATGATGAACGATTCGAATGGAAACTTTCTTTACAAAATATTTTCTTCAAGGAATGCGTGAACACGATAATAAATATTCAGAGAGGCAATAAAACGACCACTTTCTCGTAAGTAGAAAAGTATTGAACATTAACTTAATTTATGCACACTTTGTTTCCGAGGCGGCCACGTTACTACACGAAAGGGATTTGCTTGTCGTTTTGTACAAGTAAACGTAATTTTATATTATTTAAGTCTTACAGAAGACTCTAACACGACTGTTTGTTTGGCTAATATAGAGCAAATAATCGTATATTTTTTGAAAAAAGTATGATAGATAGAAATAAATATGAGTTAGATAGAAATAAATATATCCCTGACTGCTGTGGTTACTCTGCCACAAAGAATATTATAATAAACAGATAGCTGGTCATGAAACTAAACCACCTTCACTAAAAAACAAAAAAAGGAAATATGAGAATAAATTTATTTGATGATGTGTTTATTTTCCCATAACGAGTACTAACAATAATAAGTGACATATAAAATATAAATAATTATCTATTTTACAATAATATAGGCACAATCTGTTGTCTATTAAACATAGCTTTAAGCCACAGTTGTCACGATAGACGATAGTCTATTGTGACAACTGTGACTATGACTGAGTGACAGTCAATAATAGTCAAAGCCTATTATTATGACTGACTGGCTGTCTAACGTGTAAAAGGTGTCTAACCTTCTCAAAAAATTGACAGTTAATGATGACGGAATTGGATTTGAAAACACTTTTTCATGCAATTATTTTTCGAATGAGTTTGTGGTCCCCGATTAGCATATCAAAAGGGTAGTGTTTTTACACAATAACCTAATATTATAGCGGAGACTTGATTTAAATGAGAGAACTTTATGCCGTAGAATATTAAATAGATTCTTCCTTTACTTTTATGTTTTCACGAATAATAGGATAAAATCGTAATTGAAAAACTTCCCCTGCGGCGGGGATCGAACCCGTAGTTCACGAAGTTAAGGGTTAAGTGTTATTATGAGAACCGATTCAAAATTAAACAAGGATACATTTTATTAATCAATCACAATTTTGGTTAAATAACTTTTAATAAAATTCCTGGATTTTCAGTTAAGTAAATGTTCAAATTAACAGTGAATAAATAATGAAATTCGTAATATAATTAATGTACTTAAAATAATATTTCTATCAAATTTAAGTTTTAATAGCGAAATTGTTATTAACACATATATTAAATACTTTAATATTATATTTGATGTAATATACAAATGTATGTAAGTAATATATTAACTGGTAATCTTGTGTACTCAAATATACCAGAAATTAATATTCTGTGTTTTTGTTTTATATAAAATATATTCATATTACTAGCAAAATGTGTTACAGTATATGTTAAGTGGAGTTACTAAGAATGATTTTTCAAAATTTTAATTAAACAGTATATCAGTAATTAACAAGGCGAATATTTCCTAGATAACCACTGTTTTTGTGATCAATTTTATACAATAATGATTATTGTATAAAATTGTTTATTGCAAGAGTAACATTTCTAAATACAATACTCCAAGTACCAGGGTCCCATACTTTTACTAGCGTTGGTATTCGCTGAGGAAGGGGCTTCCGAAGTTTCGTAGGGAAGCGATACAACTGCCTCTAATAGGCTTAGCTCGAGATTAGGGCGCGATTAGCTCGGCTCGCGTCCGATGCTCGAGCCAGCCATAAGATTACAACTTAGTGTGACTCTCAAATCAGATTAGTTTCGGGTGTGTCGGCTTTAGGAGTACGGCTTTTTCGTGTATCCTTTATGTACCGTGAATATGTTTTATTTCTATGATATATATCTACATTTTTATTTATATCTTATTAATATTATAAAAGCAAAAGCGTGTGAGTGTGGATGGATATTTGTTACTCTTTCTCGCAAAAACTAGTGAACGAATTTTGATGAAACTTTACAGTAATATAGATTATAGGTACATACATATACGCTATAAATTGCATGCGGTTGAAACCGGGGCACAGCTAGTATCGATATAATTTAGCCCTCATTACATAAAGGAGCAGTAAAATGTAAGTATGCAGTTCTATAAATGGCGATTGATAACCTCAGTATTCTATATGTTTAACACAGTTTTTACGATGGTTGCAATTTCGAAAGGTCGCATAAGATGTGGTATAAGAAATGAAATATGTTATTTACAAACAAATGCAGTAAGTGCGTATGTACTTACTTTATTTCATATAGAGATAAAAGATAAAATCCGACTTTATGGTATTATATTTGTTTTATATGAATGTAACCTATGTCCTTCGCTGACTTCAGCGCTGGTATAAACGTTTGTATAGGAAATTAATTGTTTTTCAAGTGAGGGGTATAAAATTTATAACAATAATAAAAATGGACTACTTGACTTATTATTTCTACTCAGACGAAAGCCTATCTGTTTAATACACGTTAAATATTCTGATAGGGCTCATTTCTTTACATTCCTAAAAAAATCTACTACTTGTATTGGGTCTCTGAATTAGCATTTTGTTTGAAACAGTTTTTACATTAATTCATAAGGAACAAACTTACTTCTTCTTGTTCTCTCGCTAATTTGTCTTTTTTCTTCATCGCTTCCTGTACCTTTAACTGTAACAAAGAGAAAGTATGTTCAGCCATGATAACAAAAATTTGAAGTATATAATTCGATATATACAGTTTCTGAGGTACCTGTAAACACGAATAGAATTAAAAACTATCCACAAACTGAAAGAACTCTTGGTTTAAAATTATTACCGTTGACAATTTTATTATCTCATTAAATTTCAGATGTTTGTTATTCAATTTATATATACTTTATTAATTACAATCCTGGGTGCGTATAGTTTAATAATTAACATCTAAAGTTGTACGCAAATAACCTACTGAGAAGATTTAAAAATAAATTTATTTATTTTATAAATAATAAGGACCCTATAACTGTAGTAATAAATACTAATATAAATAAGTACTAAAATATAAAATTCAATTTATTTCTGAAAATAAATTCATGCTATCATGCTATTTTGAACATAGTTATATAATTCAACATGCATTTTGTTTTGTTTTTATAAAACTAAATTCGTGCATCAAGGAACATAATGTGCATTTCTATAAAGACGAAATAGTGCAAAAAAAGTAGTGCCGAATAAAAGAATATTACAAATATCAATAAAGTGACCATAGGGCTAAGAATTTAATAGTTTTTTTGGCCTTCGCCAAGATTTGATACACCTTCGAATGAGCATGCCAATAAAAATATAGCCAAAATTATTTGTGAAAAATTTGGAATTTTGAATATCTGTTACGACTCTGCTGGCAAAGTATAATGTTATTAATATATAATACATAATTAATATTTCAGTAAGTATAGTCTTCCAAACCCACTACATATATTAAAATATTTGTATAGTGTTATAATAAAACATATACTAGTATGCTATGTAATCTAATAGTATAAAACTATTAAATTACATAGCATACATCATTATTAATTTGTATAACCCATTTTACTAATAAATAAGCAATAAAATCTTTTTTCTTGCATGCTTGCATGCTAATTAGAAATTACGAATATCAAAAGAAATAGTATAAATTGATTGGTGGTAAAAAAAATTTTTGAACTGCTTTATAAATAATAAATATCTACAATTTGCCATACAGAGCATAACAGATTTTGGTACATCCTGCTATATATTTGACAGATTTATTTTCATCAACACGAATAATAATATAATGTAATTAATCATAAAAAAATGCAATTAATTTAGCAATAGTTAAATAATAAAATACAGTATTCTGTACTTGAAAATAAAAAACGACAATTTACATTTTTTATATATTTGACATTACATGATTAATCTGCCTTGTTTTTCTGTCAAATACATAGACTAGGTTGACCAATGGAGAGCTCACCCTATGTATTGTTTCTTCAAAGGTGTTAGGTTGGGCGGCACTCATTTGTAAGGTGCGGAGGCGATCATAGTCCCTGGGGTCAACCATGGACCTCAAAGCCGTGTCGGGTCCAGGACCCAAACCCAGACCACTTTGTAGCACGCTGTCTGGTGTGTCGACCTGAAGGAAATGTTCACTTTTAATTCTTTACGACTACTGTTAACTGTTTCTATACTTGGAAAGCCAAACAAAGTAATGAACTGCATTGACACTTTATAGAAGTCGTTTTCCGCCTTCTAGAGAGATGCATTTGAAGCATAAAAATCTTGAAAAGAATACTGTGATGCTCAGTTGAGACAACTGAAGGAACTTGCCTATTTATCTAATAAATTTTAATGGGATAATATAAATCAATTATATATAATATATGAAATATACGATATATGTTTTTTATATATAAATATTATTTTACATCAATTATTTATGTGTTGTTGTTTTGTCCATTTGGATACTACGACAATACATGCAAAACTTAATTTTTTTTTAAAAGTCGTGATAACTTATACATGTATTATGTCACGAGAAAACTTTATGATTAAAATAAAAAAATTTACAAAATTCAAATCTTATAAAAAATTAATTCAATCATAATTTCAGTAATATTTTAATTAAACACATTTTAGTTAGAGCATTTCAGTTTTAGATGTACCATTTATTATAACAACGTCAAAACGTTGCTTTATCGAATCATGAACTGAAGTTAAAATCAACACAATATTGAAGGCAAAAATAAATTTCGTTCATTTATCAAAGTGGCGACTAGTCATTTTTCTTATAAAGATAGCCCAAAAGAACAGCTACACTAAAAACTTTTCTAAAAGTCGAAACTTTTTTGCCAATCACCGCAGTAACCACAGTATGATAAATTAACGAAAATGTTGTGCAAATTAACTTACTAACTCATAATACCTACACTAATTATAAGAAAGAACAAATTTTATGAAGTGATATTATTATGTGGAATATAATATCCAAAATCACTACATCTATTTTAAAAATCATTTCATCATTGAAAAGGTGCGTTATTGCTGAATAGGATACACAGTACGTAAATTACTTAACCAGTATAAAATAAACACGAGTCAATAATATAACAAATATTTAATGCAATAAAATAAAGAAGGCAAAGCTATTCAAAATTAATAATTAAGAATTATTATTGTAATATCTTAAAAAAGTTTTATGCCTATAAATTGATGTTCCATATTGAAATTATTTTCAAATGAGTGGAAACTAACTACATTCATTTAGCATACAGCATATTCAGGTATGCTAAAATAGAAATACTAAAATCACTCCACTAATTGACATATGTTGGCTATAAAGTTTGCAGACAAAAAACATTCCCATTTATCATGTCTAAGTGAAAAAGCTAAGGATATCTGCATTACAATGAGGCTACGTGGACGATTAATTAATCATAGTATTCACAATGGTTGCCCATTAACTTCGCACTTGATAAGGGAACGACAATAGCTCGGTCCTATAATGTGACAACCCTACGAGGCTAAATTCAAACGGTGCGAAATTTATTGGTCCGTTATCAAATTCACACACATTTTCTTTTCGACAGTAATATTTTCAAGCGCTCAATCTATATTTAGTTATATAATAAATTACATTATTGGGAATATGGTGAGTATATTTAGTAGCTTATCTTATAAGAAATGAAAGACGCATGGATCCATTACTTAATAGTTAAAATGCAGTGAGAAAAAAGACAAAATATGGTCATACATTCTTATCTGCTCTACTTCGTGTTCATTATTATTTATCATTACTCATATTATCATTACTTCGTGTTCCAGTATGAATTCTTTCACATTGTTTAAATAGAATAAAAAATGTTAATATTTTACTCAATTATAAACTCACCGCCCATCCCGATTGTGTCCCACAATATGTGGAATAATACGAATATTAACAGGAAATTTTCAAACAGGTGCAGTGGTATAGAGATTATACTCCACATACGCAAATTCATGAATATCACCTTGATTAATGTTCTAATAAATAAATAGGTACCATCCCGCTACAAACTTAGTTGAACTTTTAATACTAGTACTAGACAAAAGATAACAATATGTAATTAAAAAAAAATACAGATAGAAATTACATACAAACAGTTATTATACCAAACAAACATACCCGTGACTAGCAGACTACTTTTAATAGACCGCCAAACAGGCATTAATTTCGCCATTTATACAACTATTTATTCACTAAATAAATATATAAAAGAAAACAAACAAATATGCAATACCTGATTTCCAAATAGATCACAATGAACACAAAGTTCGGACAGTAATATATCAAGCTACAACAATTAAAATAACTGCAGAATGCAAATTACTATAGCGCACACGGTTCTGTTTCAGTACAAGAAATGTAATTCGCGTCAAAAACATTGTTATGAAAATATTTCCACTGTAAACGTGATAAATGAGTCCCAAGGCATAACTTCAGTAGTTGCTAAACTTTAATATCAGCCACATTTCACTGGAGTGGATTTACTATTTTAATCCATGCATCGTGATTTCTCCGTGCTATAACTTTATTTGTGGGTACACAAAACTTTTACAAGGAAATTTAAAGGTGGAAACATTCTGAATGTTAGCTAAATGTTAGTTCCATTATTTTACTAAAAATATGTCTCATAATTTTTATTTTTACTAAGCAGTATATAAATTACAATAATTTGAATTCGGAATTACAAGTAGAAGCAAGATCGAAATTTAGACTATTAACATACTAAATAGTTTTTTCTATAATATTTAATTAACATTTGTTTGGTAGTATATACCGTTGATAATAAAAAAAAGTTGATGTAGGATTGTTGTTGTTGATAAACGCCGTGAGATAACGACAAGTAGACTGCATGTATATGAATTTTAGAAAAAAAAAACAAAACAATATCTCGCTATGGTCCGGCGTTCCATATTTAAAATTATTTATATTTTATTTTTAAGTAATATCTAATGGTTATTTTTGACGTATGTAAAATTTATTAGAAATATAATACATGTTATAATTAATTATAACACGCGAAGTCAGAGATACGCTTAAGCGTATCACTGACTTCGCGTCTTGATATTACATATGCAAAATGAATTCATATAAAGCTCAACTAGCACGATATCATATTTAATTTTCCTCGTTCTTCTAAGCTTTTTTCTCCTTAAATTAAATCCGAGAAATTTAAACTGAAATGTAGTTAGTCAATTAGATGTTACAGTACGTAATATACGGTTAGGAATTGACACGCAAAGTCATGCCGTTGCGACATCCATTTGAATTCTGCTGAACCAGTTTCCAAAAATATTGAGGGCAATTTAAGAGTTCTGCTACTCTCTGTAAATTCGTTCGAATATAAACCTTCAGCTTTTACCAACCAGAAACTAGCGCTAAATTCTTTATTGATGCACTATTATGTATTTACGAGGACCGTAATGCCAGCGAACGCTAGCACAGTGTCCAACTATTACGTTTTATTGGCAGTATCGTGCCTGGCAGGCTGTAATATGCCAATATTGTATAAAACAATACAATACAAGATATTCTTCCGTAAACTGACAAGGAATATTACTATAGTAGACAATTAATAGTAAATTTATGTCTTTTTGATATTATTTTTTGACGAGACTGAAATAACAAAGAAGCTGATGATTCACTATATGGAATTCAATGCTAATACTATAAATTTTGAGTTGTGTCCGTCTGTCTGTTACTTTATTACGGTTAAACGGATCTTGATGAGATTAAAAATGAATGACAAATTGTATCAGGAGGACGAATTTAGGCTACCTAATAGGTAGCCTAAATTCTGCTAAAAAACAGACAAATTCGCGGCTAACAGCTAATCGCCTATATATAATATATGAATAATACTATGAACATACAGAAGAATAATAATTCTTGAGGAGTAAGGTTTTATGCGTATATATATTTATGGGTATTCTATAATTTTACTGCCAAATCTTACGATTTAAATCGGAACACAACTTGCAAAGCAAATAGCTTGTAGAAAAGCTGGATGAGACAAAGGTACATAGAAGACATTTCATGACACAAAGTATTCTGTAACAACTACATGTATTATAAATATAATAATTGGTAGGTCCAATTTCTAATAACGACTTATAACTTTATTAATTTTTAACTAAAAATTCAATCTCGGATTGATGATGCCATATTAAATGCAACACAAAAATGCATATTCCGTATGTACCTAGGCTCAGGTTAGAATCTGCGGGCATTAATATGTAGTATTATATTGTACTTTATTAAACATAAAGAGAAAACTCTCCTAATAGGTGCACGTAATAATTCAAAGACAAAATTGATTGAAGCAATTTATATTTGTTGTTCCTACAAATATTTGCGCAAACATAATCTTGTTGACCCGAACATCTTTGCATTAATACCGCCAATGAGGCCATACTGATGTTTTAAAACATTTTTCCTCAATTTGTAAATCTTTCAAAACAATGACTCGACTAATGAAGTTTGTTCGAATATTAGCTCGAGAACTTTATCGAATGATGAGAAAGCGAGGACTATGCAAATTCATTTTCTTTAATTAAGTAAATTGATGTTTGTTTTAAAAAAATATTGAACTGATGATTTTAAGTGTTTTAATTATATCGATTATTTAATAATCTTAACTTTTTTTGACTCTTTATTGTACCTATAAAAATTTATTGAAATTAAGTTAACGATAGAAATATATAGTAGGTATGCACAGGATTGTATATACAATAGAATGTAATTCTATTAATTAATGTTCATATCTTAAAATTAAAAAAGAAGGTTCTTTTTTATAAAAAATATATATGAAATTACTTCAACAAGTTAATAAACTTAGTAACATATATTATATTTCATTATACAAAACTGATTACTTAATGTTTTGATTAATTATGTAATTTAATGTTCATTTAAAAATAATTAAATTAAAATAAAGTGTTTCATAATTTGGAGTACCGTTTAATATAAATTAATTATCATTAAGATAATTAAATCTTCCACCAGTTTAATCATATATATATATATATATGAATTTATGAAATTCAATTAATATTCAAATATGAAAATATCACAGCAGATCATTCATAACTTTGATCCCGACGAAATAAATTGAAAAATTCCTGATAATCACGAAGAAGGAAAATTTATATTTTCATTAATTTAGACTGCAGTTATATTAATGAATATTTAACAATCGGAGGAGAGCTCTCAAGAGCTCCAGCAAAAAAATGAGTCACTTTATTAATAATTTGATGAATAAAATTACTGTATTTAACAGCTTCAAAAAAGAAGAAAATTGTAAAAGCTCTTACCTATTTTTATCCTATTATTTATGATCCACAAATTAATTATTAGGAAATAGCCTGAATTGCTATAATATATTCTTTCAACATTTGGCCTAGCTGTTTAGCACAGTGCCTTACTTTCAACAGTCGGAGGTTCGAATCCTCATACGGTGGGAATAAATATTTATGAGTACGATTGTATCGGTCCGGGTGTATATTATGTTTGTATAAAAAAAAACGTATTTACCACAGAGTACATACAGTAATAATTGATGCAAAATTGTACATTTTATCAAATGTATAATTTTATTTATACAGACAAAATTAAATTTTCAGTAGTCACTTTAATTTTTGTCTGCCTGGTGTATCATCAATGCCGTGATCATAGAGAAAAAATTATATACCTATATAATATAAATATTCAAATCATTATTTCATATATTTATAAGATCTAGAAGATTTATATTGATTTAAATTAACATTAACCTACATTCATTGTAATATAACAACAAACTCCGCAATAACAATCCAATATCCAACTTTATGAAGAGCAATAGACGGCGTGTCCACATCAGATAGGAGGATCATCCCGTCGGAATTAAGTGCTACATTTTTCCACGTCTACCTATTTATTAATCTCTGGACGGGGATGGGGGAGTACGTCACTGCATGCCTTTTGAGAAATGACGCTTGCCAAACTTAAGTCGGTTGAGCCAAGGCGACGCCTGAGTTATGACCATTTGTTGGGCCACGGATAAAGGCCATTAGAGCGCGCGGCATAATCCTTATCGGGGAACTTGCACTTAGGATTAATACTGTCAGAAGTTGCTTTTTTCGGGTATTGGCGCGGGTTTGTCCAGCTGTGATTAGGGGATCGCGTTCGTGGATTGTACGCCCGCGATAAAATATATTCCGATTGTTATTTTTTTTTGTAACATTGTAACAAAAAAACTTGTTGTTAGATTTTTAGTATTATAGTTTTAGTAGAATATTAGGGAAAGATTTATATCATTATTTTCTCTACAATGACAATGATAAGATATCGTTTATACCACTTATTTTATCGTCTATAATGATTAAAATAGATGTTACTACTATATAAATAAAACAACATACAAGTTAATCAAAATTAATACATACTAAATAACTAAATATAACATTTACGAGTACATTCAAACTTTCATAATAATAATACGCATATGCGTATTAACATCTATACTGTACCATTTGAGAAGCAATAAATAAATAAAATAACGAAAAAAACAATATTTACGAGTACATTCAAACTATCATAACAGTAATATGTATATATTTATATGCAAGTACGCATATGAAGAGAGGCGTCGCGTCATACTAATTGCTACGAGTGCATGTCAAAGGGACCGGCGTCGCGCCGGATCTACATAATGGCGGATAGGGTAGGCGGATGGGGTAAATATATGAAAGAAAAGAAAGGGCCTCGTGCAGCTAAAATTCGGATGCCAAATACGTCACGGCGCCATGGAGATGTCATTGACACTAGTGTAAAGTGCATTTTGTATTTTCTGTATATATGTTTTTTTAGATCGGGATGCATTGAGTTCATATTAGTATAATATGTAGCCAATCATTAAAATATTACATTGTCATTTAACAAATTTTAATAACAATTTTAAATTATTTGAGTTAAGATAAATGATCGTCTCAGATTATCAAACATTATATTTTGATTGTTACTAAACAAAACAAAACTTTTACAAAAAATACAAAACAATATAGTATAATGACAGACTGATCCCAATAGATTGGATTTTATTCAGTAAATTTTGAAATGAATAAAGTGCACAGAATTTTGAAGCGATAGGAAAATTGTTATAAAAGTTTATAGACCAAAGTTAGAGCGTAACATTGGTATGAACAGGTTAGTAACAGGATAAATACATTTACTTACCATTTAACTACAAAATACAAACAAATGCAGGTTAGATAATACAAAAGCTAAACTAATTTCTTATAGCCTATGCTCCAAGCCACTTAATAATTATTACATTAATTAGGGAAAACTTTGTCCAGCATTAGGATAATAGTGGTGGTGGTAGTGAAGGGTAAACATTTTAATCGAAGGGTAACAATGTGTGAATACTTACCCTTTGTGGCGGTAATATTTGACGAGGACTGTGGGCGTGTTTCGGCGAACAGGAGCCATGTTTTTCTTTCCTATGCGACTTTAGACCGCGAAGTAGTCTTGAAAACGTTGTTACCTTCTTCTTTGCTGTTCCAAGGCAATTATCTGCAAGAAAGAAATCTATTTCAATTATAAGGTAAGTTCAAACATTACATATTACGAGCTGTACCCACAGCTTCGACTGCGAACTGGTATATATTACATAAATTGAAATTGACTTTTACACATATTGTTTTATTTTTATATACTTTTATATATAAATATATGTATGTATGAAAAATTCTATTTAGTGTTATATAAAATTTTAAAACTATTAAATTCAGGTATGAAATAAATATATTTAAATATAAACACGTGTAAGTTTATAATTAGTAATATAATATAGTAATAAATTATTTTTCATTTAGTTCGAATCTTGTATTTCTGATTTAAAATGTTATAACGACGTATAAAAAATGCAATTTATAACTGAACTGAACTGAATCAAAAACCAAACTATATTGAAGTGAAGTTAAAATATAAATCGTGAAAATATAAAATATATGGTCGAATATATAAAATTTTTTTCAAAGATGTTTTTCAATTATATATATAATTATAATAATATGTTTTATATAGCTTTAGTTTAATATAACAAAAAATAAAGTTGCGTATAATATAACAATGTGATGGAAGGCACCAATAAACAAAGGCCACACTGAAGCAAGGTTATTCGTTCTTACATACAATACAAAAGTTTGATTAAGCGTGTACATTCTGAAAGAAATATTACTTTAAGTAGGAAACAAGGAAATAAATAAAGACTAAGAAACAACAATTCCTTTTATGACAGTAACAAGTTTATAGAGCCGACATTAGATGAGAATCCGACGTTAACTATATATATTCTTAATGCTGTTTGTCGGAATTCGTTCTAATCGTTCTAACTTCTATTACATTTATAATAATTTTATATATAATAACATAAAATAATAGTCTTCAATTATTTGTGCAAATGAAAGCATGTTAATAAATATTCTACATATTAATAGTAGTTAATAATAATAACCCTGGATAAATCACACAGCGCCATCTAGTCCCACAGTATATATAGCTAAATTAGTATAGTAAGTATATAATAATATAGTAAGTATAGCTTGTATTATGGATACTAGACAACTGATATAAATACTTAGTTTTTTATTTGTAAATACATACATAGTACACACAGAAAATATCCAGACTGATACAATCATGCTCATATTCGTGCCATGCGAGGAATCAAACCCGCGATCACCGAATGTAAATCGATATGCTAAACCACTGTACCACCGAGGCCGTAAGCAATAATTTTATATGAACATTAAAATAAGCGTAATATTCGATTTTTTTTGTATAAATGAAAATATGCTTATAAATATTCTACATATTAATAGTAGTTGACAAGATTACGTAAACATATACTATAATACCAGTTTCATTGACATATTTGATAAAAACAACATGGTTTATTAATTGCTCATAATTTTCTCTTTAATTAATCATAATCATAAAATCGAATAGAACATTTCCACCTCGATACATATTAAGTAGTATCCGGTTTCAATATTTATTAGAAAGTTTTAATTGCAATAAGGAAAATTATATTCGAAATATATTGTACTCATAAGAGAAAGGAAAACACAGCTATAAATGAAGATAAATATACAGTACCACAATTTATATAAGAACAAATAGAGTCTATAATAAACTTAAAAATGTAATTACTAAGCTACAAAAGTCATTTATTAATAGCAAATCCCCACCCTGTACTTAAATGCCATCTATAATTGTGTTTTTATCATTCCTCTAAACGTTTATGGACACACATTTTATGTGGGAACTCTGAATCGAAATTTAGTTGGAATAAGTTCCACTCTACTGATTCTAATTTAACATTTATCTGATCATCAATTGAATAGTGACGTATTGCTACGAGTATTTAAATACGCGTCTGTGATTAAAAATAACAAATAATGAAATAATTAATGTAAAATCTATTTACAATTCAAATATTTGAAGATATTCACAAATCATTATAATGTATTTAGTATTTTTTTAAGACAAAAATCTTTTTTCAAATTTGGAATATTGACCCTGATTTTAATATTTTTGAAGAAGTATAAAGTTTCTTAATTGTAATACTTTTACAATTAAGAAACTTCATTCTATTTCAAATTTTGTAATATTGGTTTCCATGAGTGAAAATTGTCTTTATATTTTATTTACCATATTAAAATTTTTCAAATCAATATTTAATTATTATTATATTTTTACTAATTAACGGACAATACAATACGAAATGTGCATAAAGTAAAATTTTGGTTATGTTTTAATAACAAAAATTACATTATCTATTATTTATAAATAAATTTATAAATAAAAATTAATTAATTATCGATCTAAACACTTGAATCATACCTAACCTTAAAGAGTAGCTAGAGAAGCATCTAAATAATGTATGAGAGACTATATTTGTTTATATAGTTTATTATTCTGATGGGATCAATTTAATAAATAACTTTTTATTACACGTATCTATAATTCTTGCGAATATCTCTAATAGACATAAGTACATTAATATGTTAATAAGTTTACCTATTATAGATAGCGTGAAAGATATTAGAAGAGGTATAAAAGTGAACGATGCAATAGATATAAGAATCTAATCCATTGTTTACTTAGAAAGTTTAGGAACCTATCGACACTGTGAGTCATTATTTGAAAATATCACTTACCACTAGGAGGAAATTCGTAGAAGTACGCTGACCGTGGACTTAAACAACTGTAACAAAAGAAAATTATTATTAATTGACTAATAATATATTTCAATAAATAAAAGTTATGATGAAATCGAATAAAGCAACTAATAATACTATTCTCTACTGGTAACATCGTCTATGTTACCAGTAGAGATTAGTATTATTATTCAAATATTCGATCAACTTATTCCAAACGTAGATTTTTCAGAAATGAATTAATAAGAAACTCAGCTTGAGGCTATTCAGATAAAAGAAGTTTACATGTGTCTATATTATTTGACTGTAATATAAAAATCACTGAATGCATAACTAAAATTAAGTATACTTGTGGAACAACTATTGGATTATGCGATGATTGAAAATATTACTGTTGTAAAGCTTTCTTGTGTTATCCGATTAATTTTATTTGTACATGTATACTGTTCGAATAATATTATAAATTGTCGCATTCTAAATTGAAATACTGACTACATTTATTTGAATTTATGTCAAACTGTAAATTCAAATGGTAAACAGAATTATTTGAATTTAGAATTTGATAGTTGATCAGTTTATTCATATCGCTGACGTTAATTGTCAGTATTGTCACCAATCATACATGCCAATGTAAGTACTTTATAATGACAAATCTATATTGTATATCTCATTTGATTTATATCTGCGTATCAGTCCAACTGCGGGTAGAAAATGCGGAAAGGTAAAAACAATTCGACGGCAGGAATTCGGTGCTAAATGGGAAATTAATCGCCGTTCACATTAACAATACCCCTAATGATTGTGGCCGGTGGCGTTTAATAGGAAGATAGATTCGTAAAGGGTTTATTTCGTCTATGATCGCATAATGTAGTCTTGATTATTGAGTATTTTAATATTCAATGATTCCTAAATACTAATTGACGAAATGAAAACGTTCTTCTTTCAAAGAAAAACGTTTTCAGTAATCAGTAGGAATTTTTCTTCCTTTATTCATTTATCTCTTTTTATACCCATCTCTGTATTCGTTTTCATTTTTCATTATCATATTCATTAAATTGATCTACTTAACATACAAAATAATCTTATCCTTCATCACATACCAAGAGATCAATCAAGTATGATGACTTAACTTCTAGTTTTTTTTTCTATAATTCCTCTTACATATACTACTATAGTATTCATTGTATACAATAAAATGGCCTTATTTAAGTTATTGCCACTTAATTCACCATCTTATTTATTGTTCATTTAAATTCCTTTTCAAACAGATCCTATTGCCGCAAAATTGGCTATAAAATAGGCCTACAAACCGGTCCTAATTTGAACTAACATCGGGTCGAAAGTAGATAGCTACATGTAACGAAGCATTGCGCATTTATGCAAGCACTTAGATAAATCCCCTCGCTTAAACGACATAGGTATCTCGCTATTCTTGCCATATCTCGCCGCGGCTGCAATCCGGCAGAGCTTGTTAGTACGATTCGTACTGAACATAGTGTTAATTGAATAATGAGTTTGTCGAACTTAATATTGTAACTGGCTGCTGCGACTGGCGACTTAACTTGATAATATTATTTATTTTAATTCATATTGCACTCTTCCAAGTAATATATTAAATTTATGAATTGTTACATTATGAACACAGTAGTAATTGAATAATGAGTTTGTCGAACTTAATATTATAGTTGGCAGCATTTTGCTGCGACTGGTGACTAAAATAGATAATATGATTTATTTTAATACATATTCCAAATAGTTAATTATATTTAATTTATAATATTATTGATCGATGATGTAGATGCAAACAGTGTACACAGTTTTAATAATGAGTTTTGCCGAAGTTAATATTGTCACACTTGCTGTAATAAATTTTAAATAATTTTATTCCTAATACTTTTTTATAATATAAATTCAATTAAGTGATATTTATTTTTTTAAATATTATATTATTATGTACAAATTATGTTGTAAGGTTGATGTATAAAAATACAGCGTTACAGGTATTTACAATAATTATTTAAAATAACAATTTGTTTTATTTATTTATTAAATTTTTTACCAAAAATAAAGGTGCATATCAACCATAGAGCAAACATATTATAAGTGAGCGGTGCGTTTTAGTAATGTGAATTTAACGTGAAATAACAAAAGAGAGAAGTTACTAACAAAAATAATAATTGTCTTATAGATTTAACAAAACTAAATTATATATCAGCGATACTAACAGCAGCTATATTGCCTATGTGATGATGCCTCCGATATTTGGAATCTGATAAAAATACCCTATATGTCAATATAGAATATTTTTTATAAGTATATCATAGACTATTTAAAAATTTTTTCAAACAATAATATTTCGTATATTAGCATTATATCGCAATTTTGTCAGCATTAATTAGGCAAAAATTGTCCTAATTAAAACATAGTTCGTCAAACCGACACAATAAATTGAAGTAGGTACAATTTTGACGTGTACAATGTATACTAAATATAGAAACAGTAATAAAGTAAGGATACATCACAAAATAATGATAGAACAACACATTAGCAAAATTAAGTTGAAGTTACGAATATATTTCCAGATGTTTCTTTATAAAAGGTCACAAGATCTAAATTACGGGCACAAGGGATGCTTACAATGAAATGTGTTAAATGTACTTGTTTAAAAAAATATATTTAATTATTTTTAGTACATTTATTTAATATTTAAATTTATGTTACATATGTAATTGTAGTTAGGACAGACAGTTGTGCTGTTAACAGTTGACATGATGGCATGCCCACGTTTTATAGTGAATATTTAGAATAAAATTATAGCCGTCTCTTTATTTAGACATTTAGTTTGTCATAAAACAATTTAGTGTGACCAGTTTTTTTGATCTGACGACCCTTAATATGACGATTGAGACACCAAACTACAGACAGTGGCAGTTATATAAAAGAAGCACTTAGAGTTTAAAATTAATAATAATAATCACTTAATGCGTATTGAAGAACTTTAGTACAATATAAAAGAAATCTAAATGCAGTATTAAAGTAAAGTATTTACGAGGTAACTTTATATGCTAGCGTGCTGCAGAGATCTAATTAGCATGAAACGACTTATTGAATTAGGTGCGTAGGCGCACTCAGGTTTCCCTACTACTAATTTATGGTCGAATCTATATATAACCGTAGAATCGATTAATGGTTTGAATTTGTTATTTAGTATATTGTATAAATTGAATATTTTCGACTCCAAATTTAATAAAATATTTATGATTAGCCGTGTCTGCCCTTTAGAAGTGTTTTTCGGAATATTAATAGGTTATAACTTTGTGAAACTATTGGAATGAAACAAATACAAATAAAAAAGTCACAACATGTCAGTGATCATCGTATTCGTGTTGATACTATCTTAGTATGCAAAAATAATTTTGAGCTACGTAAACAAAATACTTAACGTACAAATATGAATCATTCACTTTTTTATTATATGTTAACTTTATATATTTAAATGTAATTAAAAAATATATGGCCTTTTGATATTTTATATACTTTTATTTGATACTTTATATACTTATTATTGCTGTAACGTTAACTGTTGATTGTGTGTTTTTATTTATTTTTATAATAAATCTGAATAAATATATACTGAGTTCCTATTTATAATTATATCATCATCATCGTTCATGCAATAAGTAATATTAGTAAGGATGTACCTAAATGAATATAAATAATGCAAAAATATGTTTTATTCGAATACAAAAAATAATTCATAAGACAGGAAGGGCTACAAGCATTTTAGCATATTATATATAAATACAAGTTTTAGTTATATCATTTCCAGATACTATAATTTGTAATATAATATCTTCAATTAGATGGGTGTTTAAAAAAATATTGTAATAACTCGTTTGTCGTTCCTTCTTGAATCCGCCGCACCGAGCGCTCCGGATGTATCCATCAACTGGTTAATTTGAATTTATACTACACATCGAGACTAAATGACAAGTTGATGGCACTAAAATTACAATGAGTGCTTGCACAAACCAATTATTGTGTACTGAATTAATTGTCTGTATCAACACAATTTTGCTTATTATGTAAGTATCATTATATAAGCCGACAGCATGGTTTAGAATATGATCGGTCGAGCTGATCTTTCTTTACATAAATATGTCTGAAGTCACAATTAGTACGCAGTTCACAATTTTAGAGGTATTTTAAGAATGATTATGTATGGTATTGGCAACACTTAAATTTACAAAGAGTTTTCTATACAAATCTGTCTTAAATAATGTCAAAATATGTTCAATGGAGACGGATAAATAATTTTGATTAATACAATAATAACTAATGAACTGGTTATAGTGAATATGCAGTCTATAGAACCTGATATTTGTGCCCAAATAATATTAATTGTAATTAATCTAAAAATAAAAGGTAATATAAATCATTAGGCGTGATGGCATATCATGTATAATTGCTTCTGTTTTATCAATATTGTCGCGAATTATATAGCAATAATTAGATTTCAATAAAATGCTAAAGTCAATTACAATTAAAATAAATTCAGTAAAAAAAATGTTTTTTAGTCAGTAAAAATACTAGGAATAGAATCATGGTTAAAGATTATCAACAATACTACTATATCTACTGGTGTAAAATAATTTTTAATAATGCGTTTATGACAATTTAAATAACTGCTCGAAAGCGAAGGTCAAGTGGTCATAAATTCTATTTCAAACGAACGTATGACAGTCAATGTATATATTTCAAATTTACTATTTTATTCTGTATGCAGTCTAAAAGATTACATTTACATTACATCGCAGTTTATCACACTCAGTCCTAAGAATAGTAAGTTAAAGATATATTTACGTTTATTTATTTACGTACACTACTGGTAGTGTACAGTAGTGTGTATATTAACATTGTTAATTAAATTATTATTATTTTTTAAATACTATTCATTAGTTTGATGCCATAACACAAACTAATTAAATTTGAGTATCTATAACTTATTATAAATAAATATAATAATTATACAAGATAAATAAACAATTCTAACTTAAAAAATAAGTTAAATATTTAATTTAATAAAATGATTATTAAATTAAGCCTAAGTAAAATGAACATGATATGTTTAAATAAAGTAAAGAGATTATATAACTTGTGTGTGATTATATAAATTTGTTGTAAAAAAATAATATTTTAAAATTCTATTTATATTATAAAAATTTATCATCATTCCATTATTTTAAAATATCTCGCAATACTTTTCTATTTTATGCACTACACTGGTTATCGACACGTACCAGAACAATGCAATATTCTACAAAGCTAAATTGCAGTAGGTACAACAAAAATAAAAGAGACCATTCCAATACGTTTAGCAATTTAACAACAATTCGAGATATGCAATTCGCCAACGAGAAGTCCACTGTCATCTACGTTAGCATCTCTAAATAGGGGTAGGTATATACGGAGGCCGCTTCTGTCGCCAATCGAATGTCTGATTTCAATTTAGATTAGCTGTTAAACATGCAGCGTAAAAGCTTATCTAACGAGTACACCTGTTAAAGTCGAAATAATTTATGAATACGCCCCATGCCATTCTTGTTACCGTCAACATTACCAATCTGACCGCGAAAAAACTTATTGTGAATGGAATACGGTTCATTTTCTTGCACGTTTTCCGCGATGGTCCAACTGCACAATTTGTGGTTATGTTATTGGTGATTTTGTATTTATTTATGCATCCCTCTTCACGCAAATTGTTTAGCTTCAAGCGGTTAGTTTGAGATTGTGGTCTAGTTTAATATTCATTAGGGTTTGAGATTTTATGTTATTTGTTTTACTTCTTATATTAAGCACTTATATACCTATAGCTGTATTGTATGTTAACTGTATATCATATTAATATAAAATCGATTTAAATACTTTATAATATTATACTGTCTAGGAAATTTCTACATGACTCAGGAATTTCGACTTAGGTTAGTCTGCTTAAAATATTTTTATACATAAATCACAATGCTATAATCACCCACACTGATAATGATAATAAATAAATACCACTTGTCCATATAGAAATGGGTCTTTATAATTTATTCTTCTGTACAGAACTTTATATTACATACAGGAAGAAATTCTGAGAATGTACTTTATCAGGTAGGAAAAATACATGGATTTTTTTGAAGAGCGTTTCTGAAGTCTTGGTTCCAATGTTTTTTGCAAATATTTATCTACTTATTCTACTAAGGAATAGATACTCATAGTATGATGATCTTTATCACTATCTCTTAAAGGTATATTATCATTAATAACAAGATAAAGTTAAATAATGCAACATATAATCTACTACATTACGTTCAATATGTTATTTCATGGACTAAATCCTTGAAAAAAAATCATAATAATTATATATTAATTTGCTATTTAAGTATAATCTTGTGTATCTATTGGTATAACACTGTACGAACATGAATACAATAAACAGTTTTAAACCCGTGCGTTACAATATACTACTACAAGATACAATATCTTATAAGTATATTTAACTTTTAATTGGATTTAATTTAGATGAAATAAAAAAATAGTAATAATATAGAAAGAATGAAATAAGATTACTTAAAAGTGGAAGGTCAATAACATAATGGTGAGCAAAATATGTTTCAAGTTGTGATGTTTCTATATTTATTATAATAAGCAGGAATGTGGAGAGTATATTTATTATCTTTAACAGACTCTCGGTTAATGATCTTAAGATGACCGAGATATCTTTCGAACTAGCAAAAATAAACATTGATGAGAATACATTTACTAATTACACTATAGTAAGTAATATATATATATATGTATGATTATAAAAAGAAAGAAAGACATAGAGCGAATTTTCTTATAAAGAAACTAAACATCAGAACCACTGCACAGATGCAAGAAATTTTTGTAATGTTTGAAGGGTAGATTATTTCAGTGTAATATAGACATAATATAAAATATATAGACGTAATATAGATACTAGATAAGAATACAAACTAGTCCCATTGATATCTCGTAGTGTAAATACAATCTGTAAATTTCCACTCAAATTTGTTGACTTTTAATATACATTATCTTCCCATCTATAACCTATATTATAGTAAATAATTCTTTTTTTTTTAATTTCAGCGCTAATTAAAGTCAAGATATAATAATAAAATAAATAATAAAATAATTGCACCCGTATGAAAACGTTACGGTTTTTTAAAGAAATATACATGTACATATCATCGATATTTGTCGTGATATTGACGTCGATATACGAGAGCTCATTTTTAAAATACAATTTTAAATTACATTTTTAAAATATAACAGTATATCATGAAGCGACCGCCGCTGTCAGTTAGCTTATATGTTTTTAATTGCGCAACGGATTTTAGTGTAATTTTTAGCAATAGATAGAGCGATTCAAGAGGAAGGTTTATATGTATAATTAATGCGTGTAATATTATAGAACAAGCCAAGAAATTCAAAGATTTGTAATGCTACCGCACGGGTCTGGTTGCCAGTAAATAATATTATCCTGGAATATATCCCATTTGTACAATGTGAACAACAATATATAATAGAATAGTTATTCAAAATGAATATGCCATTTGACTTTGCAGGATAAATACTCATCTTGTGTACTACATTAAAGCTACATAAACAAACAGAACGGCACTCACCTCTGGTAATTGTGTTGTTGGTTGTGCATAAGTGGCTGCGTCGGCTGCGCCAACAACAGCTGTTTCTGTTGTTGTTGTCTTTGCAACATCTGTTTCCCAAACACTCCGTAGCCAAAGCCGTAAATCTCGTCCTCTTCTTTATCCGTTAGGCAACTTGATGGCTGTAAAAAAAAATTGGCGCTAATTAGGACTTTGAACTTTATAAACATATATATAACTAAAGAATAATATAAATTTTATAAACTGCTAGCTAGACACAATATTTGTGGAGATTATACTATGGATTCTATCATTTATATCTATATAGGCAACACATCTATGAATTAAATAAATCCGCGACAGTTCGTTATTGAAATATAACAATTGTTCTTGCTATACCTACTCTTACCTCTTCATTGTTATTTTGTTTCTATTCCACTGGGACATGGCAAATAGGGTAACAGTAAGTTGGTAACGATAACAATAGAAACGAACAATGCTATGGATATCGTAAAATGTTCAGTCCACGTCCACGACTTTACATATACATCCTGCTTTTACTGAACAATCTGTGTAAGCAGTGTAGTAAAATTTATAAAAAATAAGTTGTTCAAGGCAATTTGGACATTATTGCAAACATATTTAGCATTTTTTATTGTAATGGCAATCATAGATAATTTAAAAAGTTAATATTATTATTCGCCTGAGTCACAATAAAGCATTGATAATTTGAGATAGTAGTAAATAAAAATAAATAGTATATTGACGTCCTCGGTGGTCTAGAGGATTAGCACACCACTTTACTTACGATAGTCACGAGTTCAATTCCTCGGACGGTGCAAACATTTGTATTCATGACTATGATTGTTTATATCTGGGTGTTTTCTATGTATTAATAAACACAATTACACATTTACAAATAAAATAAGAAAATATTAAATATTTATATCAATTGTCTAGTACCCATAACAAAACCTCTAATTACCGTGGGACTAGATGGCGCTGTGTTAATTGTCCAAGGTTACTTATTTATTTATATGCCTTAATAAATGCGTTGTTATTTTTAAGAAAGAATAAATTCCTGATTGTTCTAAATTGCGTTAGAAGAGCGTAATACCACCTATCTAACTTATAAAGCCTCCTAAAGTATCCCTTAAATCTGTTGCGCAGAATATGTGTCTGTTGTTACGAGCACAATACATTACCAGTCCAACATATTAGAAACTTTAATGGCTGGTTGCGTCTGGATTACATTAAATTTAGTCAAATTCGTGAAATGTTAGCAATAAACTAAATGGTGTATATAATGTTATTTCTGATTTGTGTGGCAATAAATTATTTGCAAAGTACTACAAAATTATGATGAGTACCTACTAGCCACTTAAGAACTACATGTTTTTATTGTTATTTGTGTTATTTATAAAGAAATATCTGAAATTGAATTAATAAAGTAATAGTGAAGTCTTGGAACAACGACTTTTTTCGAATAAAATTACATAATAAATTATTACTGGCACAAAAATATTTTATGTTCATTCAGAACATGATCTAGATTCTATTTTGAAATTTCAATTTATCTTGTTCTATAGAAGATAAATGGAACTTTGAAGCAAAATTCGTCCGTTTAGCTGTTTGTGCTTTATTTTTGGTTTATGATGACTTAGTTCCTGACGTCAAAACATATTCACAAACATTCATGTTTATTATATTGTAAGCAACAGTTTGCCGTACAAACGCAGTGTAAAAGGAAGCGACGATCTCAAATAGTTGCAGGAAGTTATATAAATACAAGTGACTGAGGACTGTTTCCTATGACAGTCTATGAAGTAATCTATATCTTGTAGTAGACAAGATACGAAATGATAATGATATTTGAAATAAGTAAAGTCAAGTGTTATTTATTATTCTGTACGGAGTATTATTTACCAATCAATTAAAATATATATGGGATTATTAGCAATGGGTTAATAGTAATCCATTGCTACGTACTATGTTAGATGTGTCGATGTGACAAGTTCTGGTTAATTCATCACAATAATAATAAAATAATCTTTATTGCATGTATAAGTAAAAAAAAACAATATGGATTAGATATGCTTAACAGAAGGCGACTTAATGAAAGTTGTTACTACTGTTGTACTAGGTTGTCTATAAAAGATAGTTTTATAGACAACCTAGTAAAACAGTAGGTTGGCTAACTATCCTGATCTTTTTCCTGTCACCTTGTCGTGGTTTCTCACTACTATATATTATATTATATATTATATTACATCCTCCGTTTCTAGAGACAGTATATAGTGACTTAATTATTAATGTAGTTATATATAATAAAATTGTTCTTACCGAATATTTTCCAGGCACATAAATTGGTTGTGAATGTGATGTTGTTAAATTGTTCAACGCTAGAGAACCGGGACTGGCTGATGGAGGTGTTTGTGGGGTCCCTGGATCTCCAAGCACTCTCATCCTTGGTGACATCTCCTCCCATTCATGCCTTCTTAATTCTTCTAGATGATCCAGAACATCCCCGTAATGTGTTGAAAATAAATCTGCATATCTGGACGCTAAACCTTCAAGATAACCTCGGTCACCATCCTGAAACAAAAATAACGAAATTATGTTTCGGTAGGTAAATGTAAGTATTCGATGTACACACATCGGAACTCTATGTACGTATGATATATAAGTGTAAGTCTGTTTGTATGCTAGACTATACATAAATGCAACCTGAGAAGTGTACAGACTTCCACTAGACTGGTAGCTATATAAAATCAGTGACCTTTGCTCTCCTATTTCTGCAGTAACTTTTATAAGCAGTGTTTCCGTAAATGGGTTTCAGACATGGCAGTTGGATACCATCAGATAAAGAGTACCACGAGCATCAAATGATGACATGTTGTTGGCGAGCGAACGCCGCAAAATCTTTTGATATTTTTATTATTTTTATATGTCATGTTATTTGATATATCTCACTTATTGTTACATTGTCTTTACCATAGTTCACGGCTGCACATTAATATATTTTATTATCTTAATCTACGTGTTTTCATCATTTAGACATCCATACAGTCCACCGATCTATCCGTTATATATACATATATATATTGCCATTATCATGGCATCTAATATAACAACGATACAAACTTAATTACCTAGCGTATTCTAACCATAAGATTATAATTTAAAAAAATGTACGCACTTCCCTCCAAAGTAACGTCTGAAATATCCTAATTAATTAAAATTTAAGGACAATAAATATCAAACTTAATTGCTCGAGTAATTGCCACCGACTGTGTGCAATTAACAATAAAAAAAACATTATAATTATTTTATATAGTATTTATTTGTACTGATCTCTTTTTCCACACAATTTCCACTGAACTTAGAAAAGGAAAGATAAAACTGAGGATGGCAATTAAGATCAGCAGTCCTGACTTATAGGGAGGTTTTAAAGTACGCGTATTGGGGTAGAACTAATTGACAGTGGCAGGGTATGTACAAACTTACGGATCTATAAACAGAATTCCGTGATTTTCAATATAGATTCTTATTTTTAGTATAAATTAAATTGTATAAAAAAAAACAATATATATTATTATATTATGTTAAGTGTTCTACCAACACAAATGTGAAATAATATACTAATATGCTCTGAAATAAGTTTAAATTTAATACAACCAATAATTTTCAAAAACATTTACGGCCCATCACCAATAATATATTAGTTTTCTCTTGCACTTGCACTCACTCGAAAAGAAAAACATTTTTTATGTTATTCATAAATTAAAAATAATTTTAAATGTACTTTTTTAATAAATCTATTTTACCTAGAAACTTCTATAAATGATACACGTCATTTGAATCAACTGTGAATGCGCGCCAAATTCAAATAACGAATGTCAACGACCTTTATTTAAATAATATTCACAATAAATACAATCATAAAAATAGCAAAAATTTTGTTTGGTTGTATCTATCCACAGAAACAATTTGTAATAGATATTTATATGACAACTGATTGTATAGCGTAATTTACATTCCGGAACCAAAGGAATAAAGATAAAAAAAAAATTGTTGACTGCCTAACTTAGCAGATTTTCTTTTGACAATGTTTTGTATTATAGCCACTATTTTAATTTAGTAGTGTATTTACTATAACAATGACTGATTATATATTTTGACTGACTGACTGATTAAACTGATTTCTATATTAAAGAGAGTTACGTTTATTAATTAATATAATTAGATTATTTTTTTTTAATCTAAACAGAATCGGAACTTCATCAATGGCGAGTCGCACTTAGAATTCAACCAGCGGTCGCGCGTCGAGTCAAAGATGGCCGGGGGTTTATTTCCATTTTTAAATGAGAGCGGCTGAGAGCTTTGTCGGCTCTGAGTTTGTGCTCTGCGTTTTAAGTGGATTAAATCGCTCCACGCTCGTAAAACCGACAAGTGCTTCAGCTAAGAATTAAAGTAACAGTTCGACTTTTGCATGAGAAAGTGCTCGCGAGACCTTGCTTCGCACTTACTCTCGCAATTTGATGCGATTTCAGTTTATTTATTTTTCCAGTGGAAATCCTGTTCGATCGGGGCTTTAGTGGAATGCCATTCCCTTGTGAATACCTAATGATATAAATTCATTAACACTGTTTGCACGAAGTACTGTCAGTTTAACTTAAATACTTCGCATGCCATGAAAGGTCGTTCAGTGACTGTAAAGCGAAGAATTACCGAAGCCCATAAAAAGTTTCGAAACGCTAAGATGGCCTTTCCCATCGTATTGAGAGCAGCTTACAGATATTATAGTATAGACAAACTAAGTCAAAGAACCACCATAAAAGACAATAATAAATAGCTCATGATGCTTTGGCACAAGACATCGTAACTGCTCTTGAATTTAAATCGTATATTTAGACCAAGTCCAGTCGTTTAAAGCATAGAAACGGGTTCATTGAATGGTTTGCCAACGACAGCTGAATTGTTTACGAAAAATAACCTACTAAAAGTTTGGTCATAGAAACAGAACACGAATCGGGAAATTTTACTTTACCTGCCAGTCCCTGTCAATGGTCCTTTGATATTATAAATGAAATATTTTCACATTAATTCTTTTACACTTATTAATTATTAATTGATTATCTAATTACAATTATTTCATTGTTTTATATAGTTTGAATTTGTTTATTCTAATTAGATAGCCATTAAAAAGACAAAATCACATGGTTTTAGTTGATCATGACGATGCACTTTTTAATGTATCGAATGTATAAGTTTTATAATTTCAAATATATAATTATAGATAAAATAGCAACAGTTGACTTACTTCATCTCTACTAGAACTACTACTGCTTGTTAATTGCGTAGTGTCCAAAAATTAAGGTATATATTTAAAAAATCGCTGAACAGCCAGAGTTTTGTTTCCATACTATTATTATATTATAGTTTAAATAGAATATTATTAATATTTTATATACGAGAGTGTCTCGTTGCCTTTACACGACTAAATAGTTTTAATGATAATTATATATCATAAGAGCAGACGAAGGTAGTAGACTAGTACGGGTATAAATCCAATAACAGTGTAATTAGCACACAATGATACGGATTTCATTATGGATGAAAGTGCGCTAGAATTTCACTTGTACGCATATTTGATACATTAATTTTGAATTCGTCTATACAAATAATTAAATTGAAGTATCGGTATGTAATTTCAAATTAAAAAATATACAGTTTTTGTTGTCTGATTGTTTTTTTGCTAATCTTTGAAACGGCTGGACCTTAGCTAATATTTTAGGTTACTTTTATTCAGGAAATTTTGCACATTTTAATAATAGAAGTTACATTCCACGTGGACTAAGCCGCGGTTAACAGCTAGTTCAGTAATAAAATGAGTATCTACAACAGTTTCAAAACATTTTCTTGTGAACAGAACGGAAGATAATTTTCTGGTGTCCGTCCAAAACATTCGAAGCAGTAAAACAATCGATTCCGGCTATCCGAGCTCAGGTCCCCGAAATGTCTGCGCCATCGAACTTTCCTTTAAAATGAGTATAAATTGCAAAACTTGGGAATTATTTGCGTCTCTCTTCTATGCCAATTTACTCCGTTTTTCCTGAGTTTCATTATAACAAGTTTAATTGAAGACCGCGTCCGGTGCATAAATTTAAACTTTTGACGTGCATTTTAATCTGCTTACAGTAGTTAGTTCACGAGGTAATGGCTAGTAAATGAGTTTCTAGACCACTTTAAACTGTTCCATCATTAATATAATATTATTAATAGTGCTAACAGACATACAACTCGGTTGTGGACTATTATGGCTTTCAAAGGCTTTGAATGCATGTCGACCCCCTTCAATAGTTATTTGCTAGAAGCTTACATAATTTTCCACAGAAATGTCAATTTCCTGGCATTCTGTTTTACAATCATGCGTTTTAAATTGTTACCGTTTTTATTATAGTCTAGTTTCTGTAATTGAGTTTCTCCGCATCATTGATATTAAATATTGATGATGTATATATAATAAAGAATTAAAAAGGGTTATCGCTTAATTCTTCATGTAAAGATAATAATTTGTTAATAATATTGTGAAATGTGCGCTAAAATAAACAATTTCTGTAAAACAGACTAAGCGCCAAAAAAGCACAATCAGTTTTGTGAATATTTACGATATTTTATTAAATATTTTTCTATAAATTATTACCAGTTATTAAAAATGTCACAAATCATTCTACGGAATATTTGTTGCGAGAATATTAAACGCAACAATTTTAGGCACTTGGACAAACGCTATAGAGAAGCAACTTAATCATTTCATAATTTATATTCCTCTGTAGCCTGCAGCTGTAAACGAAGGCTTTATTCACGACAATTTAAATGTTAAGTAGAATTAAAAGTCAACGTTGTACAAATAATCAGTAAAATGCATTGATAAAATATAAGATAAATAGGACTTAGTCTTTTTCTGTTTTTGTATTCCTAATTCTTTGTAATAAATATACAGCATAATTGATTTTATATTCAATATAAGGATATATTATTAACGCATATACGCAATAAATATAAATAATATTATACGCATTTTTATTTTCCAATATACTTTGTTTATTTGTGAAATATATCTATTACGTATCATAAATAAAACTCACTAACTATATAATATATAAAAATTGGACATTTTTATGCTGTGTTGATATTTAATTTAATTTAATTCTATAATATTCTAATTTTTATCAAAAAGAATCGTACCTGAGTAATTACTAATGTTACAAAGGACTTAATGCATAACTTTCCTAATAATTACATACAAAATGATTTTTTTTACTAAGGGAATACCCATAATTAATTATGAACATACTAAATATTATGAAATAAAAATAAATTACAATTATTTCTGTAATTCAAAACAAATATATCTCACTTTGTAATTATTCATAAATAGTAGAATAAATATGTTCCTAGACAAGACAGCGACAGTCTTTATGAAAGAGATGCATATCTATGTTTGGTGTTGTAGATACCATTACTCCTATTGTACCTATGTGGTTCAATGAACTTGAGCTCTTGGAAGCATTCATTTGATTTATACCATA